GCGTTTCGTGGCCCCATAGGGATCCCCACCGAAGGCCCCAGTGGCGCAGTTCGCATGCGTCTCCCCCGCCCAGGACAGCGTTTCGTGGTCCCACAGGAAGCTCCACCGAAGGCCCCAGTGGCGCAGTTCGCATGCGTCTCCCCCGCCCCGAACAGCGCTTCGTGGCCCCATGGGGAGCCCCACCGAAGGCCCCATTGGCGCAGTTCTCATGCGTCTCCCCCGCCCAGGACAGCGCTTCGTGGCCCCACAGGGAGCTCCACCGAAGGCCCCAGTGGCGCAGTTCGCATGCGTCTCCCCCGCCCCGAACAACGCTTCGTGGCCCCATGGGGAGCCCCACCGAAGGCCCCAGTGGCGCAGTTCGCATGCGTCCCCCCCGCCCAGGACAGCGCTTCGTGGCCCCATAGGGAATTCCACCGAAGGCCCCAGTGGCGCAGTCCGCATGCGTCTCCCCCGCCCAGGACAGCGTTTCGTGGCCCTATAGGGAGCCGTCACCCCCATTTCGGCACTCCCTGACACGTTTCGTGGGCTCCACCGAAGGCTTCGGTGGCGGCGTTCCGAAGGTGGGGTTAATTCCATGCGTTCGTTTTTGAAGGCTGCGATGTGTAACCCAAGCAGCTGCGCCTCGCCGACAACGTTCCAGGGGCGATCGCCGCAACCAGCCCGGGTGCCCGAGCTACTGGCGCTATTGCCCGGGAGTTGCCGAGGGAGTTCCAGGCCCACTGGTGGCCTCGGGGGGCTTCGGGGATGCGTCCGGAGACTTGCGGACACCTGCGCCGGAGGCCGTCGGAAATCTGAGGAGGACGAACGGAGTGGGCTGCGGTGGAACGGAGGAGGAGGACGAGGAGGAGGAGGAGGAAGAGGAGGAGGAGGAGGAGGAGGAGGAGGAGGAGGAGGAGGTCGGAGGAGGAGGAGGAGAGGGAGTGGAAGGAATATGAGGAGGAAGAGGAGGTAGCCCCCTTCGACTTGTACGAAGACGATGATGACGATGATGATGTTGATGATGCTGGCGATGATGATGGTGATGATGAAGGAGATGATGGTGCTGAAGCTAATGCTGAAGATAATGATGATGATGATGACGATGATGATGATGATGATGATATTGATGATTCGGATGATGACGATGATGCGGGTGATCATGATGGTGATGCGGCCGATGATGATGCAGATGATGATGATGGTGATGATGATGTTGACGACGATGGTCACGATGATGATGATGATGATGATGATGATGATGCGAGCGATGGTGACGATGGCGAAGATGACAGTGCTGACAATGGTGAAGATGACGAAGATGGTGCTGCTGATGGTGACGACGACGACGTCAGTTGCCACCGGGCGGGAGTCATCGGAGTTCCGTCCTTCAGGAACAAGGGCATACCCGCGGGGGGCAAGCTGAAAACGCTGCAAGACACGTGGGAGGCGGTCAGGTGTTTGATCCTGGAAGAGGTGAACACGATCGCCGAACCTGTACAACATGCTGGTATTCCGGTCCTACCTGGGGCGCAAGGCCGAGTGGGGCGCGGAGGAGCGGGAGTGCGACCAGATCGGCGGCGCCTTCGGCCACATGCCCATCGTGATCCACCTGGGTGACTTCCTGCAGCTGAAGCCGACGGGAGGCAAAGTGTCCCTTATCTCCAGCGTCGAGGAACTGGCGGCGGCGGGCATCGACCTCGCTCCAGAGTGCCAGGCCGTGATGGAGCTCTTCTGCAACAAGCCGCTGCGCTTCGAGCTCCAGGCGTCCAACCGCTTCAAGGACCCGAAACGCAGGGACCTCACGGCGTTCCTGCGCAAGCTGGGGAAGCAGGTCCCGTCGGCCATCCGGGCCACGTGGAACGCCATGCAGCCGAAACCCGATGATCGTAGACTCCGGGAGGAAAGGTTCCAGAACGGCCACATGATTGGGTCCTACTGGGACACCGTGGCGCGCTGGATGAATATGCGAGCCCAGCGGGGCGCGGACGTCCTGAAGGAGCCCCTCTTCCTCGCGCAGGCCGCCGACAGATCTGCCCCGACGATGAGCAGGAAAGACGCCACCAAGGTGATGAACTGTGCCAACCCGAAGAACACTGGTGGCATGCACGGACTGCCCCCGGTGCGCGTGGGCATGCGGATTCGGCTCCTGGAGGCGCTGGACCTCAAAAGCGGCTTCGTCAAGGATGCCGAGGGGCAGATCGTGCACGTCGTCGTGGACCTTCGGGATCGTGGCGACGTCGAGAGGGCCGAGAGGGACGGGGAGAAGATAATCTATCTGAAGCACTTGCCGCTGAGGTTCTGGGTGTGCATGGAGAAGCACGCGAGTGCGCCCTTCGTGGGCGACCTCAAGCGCCACGACGACACCCTCACAGGGGACCTGACGGGCCCGCTGGTGTTCATCGAGCCTCGCACGTCGGAGCCGTTCACGTTCCGCACCTCCAAGGTCACCCGGGCGGGCTTCCCGCTCTCGCACGGCAGGGTCATCACCGCGGTGGCGTGCTAGGGGCGCACCATGCGAGAAGGCGACGGGGCGGGGGAACAGCGCCCCCCGGGCAGTCCACGGCCAAACCTCCTGGGCACGAGCGATCCGCAGCCATGCCTTTTTTGGTTCTGTGGATTCTCGCCTTGGGCCGTTGGCTGCCCCACGCGCTGCTCCCTCGGCCGACGTCGCCCAGGCGTGATCCTGGACTGCGGCCGCCACGAGATCGGGAACGGCAAGAAGGACGACGACGACTGGTGGCTGGAGCTTTACGCGCTGCTCTCGCGCGCCACGCGCCACGAGGACCTTCTGCTCACGCGGGCGCCACGCATCGAGTTCTTCTTGGCGGGGCCGCCGGCGGGCTTGCGGAAGCAGTTGGAACAGTTTGCTGCGCGCACGAAGCGGCGCAGGAGGGAGGCCACGACCCTCGCCAGGGAGCTGGGCTTCACCGAGTTTATCCGCGAGGCATGGCCTGGGGAGCGGCCCGCCCGAGCCGCGCCATATCCAGGCTGTCCCACAGTTCGGCCGGGCGCCGCGAACGACCCGTGCGCGTCGCTGGGACCCTCTCGGGGCGACCAGCGTGCTTCGCGGGACTCCGTGCCGCGCACTGCCCAGCGCCTCGTTCGCCCGTCGTGGCTCTGCCCGGCGCCCAGAGCCTTGCCCGCTCCCAGCCAGCCAGCTAGCTCACTTTGCTCTGCGCAGCGGACGACCCGCGTGCATTGCTGGGACCCCTTCGGGGCGACCAGCGCGCATCGCGGGGACTCCGTGCTGCGCTGCGCGCGCAGCCTTGGGCACTGGAGTGCGCGGGCAAAGAGGGGGAAAAAAAACGGGAGGAAGCGGGGGCGATCCACGCGAGGGGGGGTGCCAATATGGGCATCGACATTCATCCACGTAGACTCCCCCACACGCAGATTCATGCACAATCAGACCCACTCGTGCTCAGACTCGCCCGCTCTCAGGCTCTCGTTATCAGACCTATCGTCTTCTTCCGCGTTGCGCTCCCCGCCATACATCGGCAAACCCCTCACGCGGTTCTTGGCCTCATAGGGAGCTCCACCGAAGACGAGATTCACAATTGCGGCGCTCTCAACTGCGTATGGTTGGGTCATTCGCCAGGCTAATTTTGGGAGGGCCCAGGGAGTCGACCCAGCTTCCAGGATCCCCCCCCCGTCGTTTCCCACACGTCCTGGGCCCTCGCAGGCCTCGGGGGCCCCGCGCCGCGGGAGCGCCTCGGCCCGCCGCGGCGAACGCGCGCGCGCCGCGCCCCCTGGCCGACGGCCCGGGAGCCGTGGGGCGGCCCGTGGGCCAGGCGCGGCGGCGCACGGGCGCCTCCTCGCACGGGAGGGCAGAAGCGCCCCTGACCCTGACGACACGGTGCACGCGCGGCCTCGCTGCGATCCCCGTCTTCGCATCAGGGATGACAGAGCTGGGCGGTGTGGCCCCGGTGCATCTGCAGGACAGAGGGCCCCCCCTTCTCCCTGATGTTCTTGGCGCTCCTCACTTGGGTGCCCTCCCCAGGGGTCAAGGGGGTAGTCACTGCTCTTGCCGATCAGCCTCTGCAGAAAGAGGACGGGTGTGCAGACCAGGGCTCGAGGTAAATCGTTCTGCTGTCGTGGTCCTTCGCTCTGTCGGAAAGGAAACGGCCCCCTGAAATCGCCAAGACACCGTCCGGCTTGGGCCCAGGGGGGGCGGCCCTGGCCAGGCAAGGCGGCGCAGAGACGCCTCCTCTGCAGAAGAAGGAGCGGTGGGCACATCACACGGGATACGTAGGTCGACCCCTATCCCAGGCTTCGTGGGGCTCTCGGATGGACCAGGAATCTGGGGGCCCCATCCTGGGATAGGCGACTGGGGGCGTCCATCCTCGGTGAGGGTGCGTCCGAACAGACCCCTTGGGGTGTATCCCAGGGTGTCCCTCCTTTCTGAGCGGCTTCGGTCTTCGTCGGAGCGTCCGGGGGTGGGGGAGACAGCTCGCCTGCGATGCACATGCACCGATCCTGGGCCCAGGACCATCCTGAGCCCAGGATCGGTGCACACGCTCTCCTGGGCCAGGGAGGCATGCACACCGATCCTGGGCCCAGGAAGGGCCTGGACAGGATCGGTGCACGTGCATACTGCTTCTGTTATTTTGCTGGACGACACCAGATCCAGGCATCCGACGATTTGAGCTTGCCAGTCCGCGCCTGTCCACACTGGCACCACCTTACCAACAGCAGGTGCGGCAGGAGGAGCACCAAGACCAGCTGGAGGAGCGGGAGGCCTGGCCCGAGAGACCCCGGGCGCGGGCGGGAATAGCTTTGCCTCCCGCCCGCGCCGCACCTCGCCTGGCCAGAGGGCCCCTCCCCCCCTCCGCAAAAGAGAGCAAACAACCCCCGAGGTGCCCCCGGCGGGGCGCGCGGGGGTGCCGGCGAGATTTCCAGACCATTGCGTACGAAGCACGGAAGGCTTTGAGAAGATTGGTTGGTGGGCCTGCAGGCGGGCCAGGACACCTGGCCACTGCCTGAGGATTGGCGGAGGCGGCCCTGCATGGGGACGAGCGGCCTCCTCACTCCGGCTCCTCGCCCTTGCAGCCCTTGTGCTCCTTCGCGCAGCAGTAGGAGATCTTCTTCGGGGACCACGAGAGCTCCAGGCAGTGCATGCAGTGGTGGTAGCCCGCGTCGCAGTCGTACTGGCTCTTGTCATCCTCGGGGGGCGCGTCGCCCTGCGGGAGGCCCGAGGGCGGGGGCAGCTCCGAGGGGCAGCCCTTGTTGGCGGTCTTGCAGCAATACATCTTCTTCTCGCCGGACCAGCCGCGCACCCACTGCAGAGGGTCGAGGTCGTTGTAGCCGGCGTTGCAATCAATCGGGCACGGGGACGTGGTGCTCATCGCTGTTGTCACCACTGGCGCGACGGGCACGACCGGCGCCGGCATGGTGCTGGGCGCAGCGGGCGTCGTCGGGCAGCCTTTGCCCTCGTGCAGGCAACAGTATACCTTCTTGGGCACGTCCCAAGACACAGCGTCGCCCTCGCCGCAGTTGATCTCCTTTTTCGTGGTGGTCGGCGGCTCGGTCGGCTTAGGCGGGGGAGGCGGCGGAGGCGGCGGCGGCGGCGGCGGGGGCGGGGGCGGTGCAGCCGTCGTGGCCTTCGTGGTGGTGGTCCTCTCAGTGGTGGTGTCAGGCGGCGGGGTGGTCGTGATGATCACTGGGGCGGTGGTCGTCGTCATCGTGGTGGTGGTCGTCGTCGAGCCCGGCGCCATAGCGAAGAGCAGGAGGGGCAGCAGGAGGAGCGACAGCCCCAGGGGCACGAGGCAGATCAGGCAGAAGTTCGGGCCGCGCCCAGGGATCCGGACCGCTCCGAACTCCCCCGCGCCCATACCGACGTACTTGTAGCTGGTCTCCTGGACGTAGTCGCCGCCCGGGCCCACGTAGCTCAGGATCGTGCCGCCGCCGGAGCCGGAGCCGCAACCTGAGCCCGCGCCGCAGCCTGTGCCCGTGACGCAGCAGTCCGAGCCTCCGGCGCCGTACGCGCCCCCGGCGCCGTACGCGCCGCCGGCGCCGTACGCGCCGCCGGCGCCGTACGCGCCGCTGGCGCCGTACGGCGCGACCGCGCCGCCAGTGCCGCAGCACCCGGCGCCGCTGGCGCCGTACGCGCCTGTGCCGTAGGCGCCGCCGGCGCCGTAGCCTCCGCCGAGGCCTCCGCCGAGGCCTCCGCCGCGAACCCCACCAAAGCTGTAGGACATGACGATGCAACGAGGGAAGGGCGCTGTGGCTGCTGCAGCGGGGCTCTCGGAAGATGAATGGCACCTTGAGCCGAAATGGCTACGGACACGCGCATGCAGTAGGGGCCCGACCACAAGAAACCTTCCGCGAGAAACAGGAATAGCAGTAGCAGTAGAAGCCGAAGTACGTAGCACGATCAATAGCAATAGCGGCATCAACAGTTGTAGCGGTAGTGGTAGGCAACACGACCGTGGGCGACCCCACGCGGTTCCGACATTGTGAGTCCAAGGTTCGAATGATGACGCGTTCTCCTACTCGTTTGCTCTCATACTCGCTCGGGGCCACGGGTGGGAGAATGAGAGAGCCTAGTCTCCTACCCGTTTGGTACCATGGGTGGGAGAGCAGGAGGGTGTTCTCCCATTCGCCTACACTGGGACTGGTGACCCCCCAATAGTGACCACCAAAGCGCCGAGCGGTGATCTTGGTCATCGCCCATGTTAGAGGGGCCCAGGAAGACGCGAATCCACAGAAGAACAAACAACGCGCGCCCTCCCTGGCGCGCGCCAGGGGCGGCGCTGGAGGCGCCGCCGGGGCGGCCGCAGCGCGGATCCAGGGAATCCGCGCGGAGCGCCAAGAGTCCACGTCTACAGCGTTTCTGCTTCTTCTTCAATTATTTTTGGGAGGGCCCAGGGAGTCGACCCAGCTTCCAGGATCCCCCCCCCGTCGTTTCCCACACGTCCTGGGCCCTCGCAGGCCTCGGGGGCCCCGCGCCGCGGGAGCGCCTCGGCCCGCCGCGGCGAACGCGCGCGCGCCGCGCCCCCTGGCCGACGGCCCGGGAGCCGTGGGGCGGCCCGTGGGCCAGGCGCGGCGGCGCACGGGCGCCTCCTCGCACGGGAGGGCAGAAGCGCCCCTGACCCTGACGACACGGTGCACGCGCGGCCTCGCTGCGATCCCCGTCTTCGCATCAGGGATGACAGAGCTGGGCGGTGTGGCCCCGGTGCATCTGCAGGACAGAGGGCCCCCCCTTCTCCCTGATGTTCTTGGCGCTCCTCACTTGGGTGCCCTCCCCAGGGGTCAAGGGGGTAGTCACTGCTCTTGCCGATCAGCCTCTGCAGAAAGAGGACGGGTGTGCAGACCAGGGCTCGAGGTAAATCGTTCTGCTGTCGTGGTCCTTCGCTCTGTCGGAAAGGAAACGGCCCCCTGAAATCGCCAAGACACCGTCCGGCTTGGGCCCAGGGGGGGCGGCCCTGGCCAGGCAAGGCGGCGCAGAGACGCCTCCTCTGCAGAAGAAGGAGCGGTGGGCACATCACACGGGATACGTAGGTCGACCCCTATCCCAGGCTTCGTGGGGCTCTCGGATGGACCAGGAATCTGGGGGCCCCATCCTGGGATAGGCGACTGGGGGCGTCCATCCTCGGTGAGGGTGCGTCCGAACAGACCCCTTGGGGTGTATCCCAGGGTGTCCCTCCTTTCTGAGCGGCTTCGGTCTTCGTCGGAGCGTCCGGGGGTGGGGGAGACAGCTCGCCTGCGATGCACATGCACCGATCCTGGGCCCAGGACCATCCTGAGCCCAGGATCGGTGCACACGCTCTCCTGGGCCAGGGAGGCATGCACACCGATCCTGGGCCCAGGAAGGGCCTGGACAGGATCGGTGCACGTGCATACTGCTTCTGTTATTTTGCTGGACGACACCAGATCCAGGCATCCGACGATTTGAGCTTGCCAGTCCGCGCCTGTCCACACTGGCACCACCTTACCAACAGCAGGTGCGGCAGGAGGAGCACCAAGACCAGCTGGAGGAGCGGGAGGCCTGGCCCGAGAGACCCCGGGCGCGGGCGGGAATAGCTTTGCCTCCCGCCCGCGCCGCACCTCGCCTGGCCAGAGGGCCCCTCCCCCCCTCCGCAAAAGAGAGCAAACAACCCCCGAGGTGCCCCCGGCGGGGCGCGCGGGGGTGCCGGCGAGATTTCCAGACCATTGCGTACGAAGCACGGAAGGCTTTGAGAAGATTGGTTGGTGGGCCTGCAGGCGGGCCAGGACACCTGGCCACTGCCTGAGGATTGGCGGAGGCGGCCCTGCATGGGGACGAGCGGCCTCCTCACTCCGGCTCCTCGCCCTTGCAGCCCTTGTGCTCCTTCGCGCAGCAGTAGGAGATCTTCTTCGGGGACCACGAGAGCTCCAGGCAGTGCATGCAGTGGTGGTAGCCCGCGTCGCAGTCGTACTGGCTCTTGTCATCCTCGGGGGGCGCGTCGCCCTGCGGGAGGCCCGAGGGCGGGGGCAGCTCCGAGGGGCAGCCCTTGTTGGCGGTCTTGCAGCAATACATCTTCTTCTCGCCGGACCAGCCGCGCACCCACTGCAGAGGGTCGAGGTCGTTGTAGCCGGCGTTGCAATCAATCGGGCACGGGGACGTGGTGCTCATCGCTGTTGTCACCACTGGCGCGACGGGCACGACCGGCGCCGGCATGGTGCTGGGCGCAGCGGGCGTCGTCGGGCAGCCTTTGCCCTCGTGCAGGCAACAGTATACCTTCTTGGGCACGTCCCAAGACACAGCGTCGCCCTCGCCGCAGTTGATCTCCTTTTTCGTGGTGGTCGGCGGCTCGGTCGGCTTAGGCGGGGGAGGCGGCGGAGGCGGCGGCGGCGGCGGCGGGGGCGGGGGCGGTGCAGCCGTCGTGGCCTTCGTGGTGGTGGTCCTCTCAGTGGTGGTGTCAGGCGGCGGGGTGGTCGTGATGATCACTGGGGCGGTGGTCGTCGTCATCGTGGTGGTGGTCGTCGTCGAGCCCGGCGCCATAGCGAAGAGCAGGAGGGGCAGCAGGAGGAGCGACAGCCCCAGGGGCACGAGGCAGATCAGGCAGAAGTTCGGGCCGCGCCCAGGGATCCGGACCGCTCCGAACTCCCCCGCGCCCATACCGACGTACTTGTAGCTGGTCTCCTGGACGTAGTCGCCGCCCGGGCCCACGTAGTTCAGGATCGTGCCGCCGCCGGAGCCGGAGCCGCAACCTGAGCCCGCGCCGCAGCCTGTGCCCGTGACGCAGCAGTCCGAGCCTCCGGCGCCGTACGCGCCCCCGGCGCCGTACGCGCCGCCGGCGCCGTACGCGCCGCCGGCGCCGTACGCGCCGCTGGCGCCGTACGGCGCGACCGCGCCGCCAGTGCCGCAGCACCCGGCGCCGCTGGCGCCGTACGCGCCTGTGCCGTAGGCGCCGCCGGCGCCGTAGCCTCCGCCGAGGCCTCCGCCGAGGCCTCCGCCGCGAACCCCACCAAAGCTGTAGGACATGACGATGCAACGAGGGAAGGGCGCTGTGGCTGCTGCAGCGGGGCTCTCGGAAGATGAATGGCACCTTGAGCCGAAATGGCTACGGACACGCGCATGCAGTAGGGGCCCGACCACAAGAAACCTTCCGCGAGAAACAGGAATAGCAGTAGCAGTAGAAGCCGAAGTACGTAGCACGATCAATAGCAATAGCGGCATCAACAGTTGTAGCGGTAGTGGTAGGCAACACGACCGTGGGCGACCCCACGCGGTTCCGACATTGTGAGTCCAAGGTTCGAATGATGACGCGTTCTCCTACTCGTTTGCTCTCATACTCGCTCGGGGCCACGGGTGGGAGAATGAGAGAGCCTAGTCTCCTACCCGTTTGGTACCATGGGTGGGAGAGCAGGAGGGTGTTCTCCCATTCGCCTACACTGGGACTGGTGACCCCCCAATAGTGACCACCAAAGCGCCGAGCGGTGATCTTGGTCATCGCCCATGTTAGAGGGGCCCAGGAAGACGCGAATCCACAGAAGAACAAACAACGCGCGCCCTCCCTGGCGCGCGCCAGGGGCGGCGCTGGAGGCGCCGCCGGGGCGGCCGCAGCGCGGATCCAGGGAATCCGCGCGGAGCGCCAAGAGTCCACGTCTACAGCGTTTCTGCTTCTTCTTCAATTATTTTTGGGAGGGCCCAGGGAGTCGACCCAGCTTCCAGGATCCCCCCCCCGTCGTTTCCCACACGTCCTGGGCCCTCGCAGGCCTCGGGGGCCCCGCGCCGCGGGAGCGCCTCGGCCCGCCGCGGCGAACGCGCGCGCGCCGCGCCCCCTGGCCGACGGCCCGGGAGCCGTGGGGCGGCCCGTGGGCCAGGCGCGGCGGCGCACGGGCGCCTCCTCGCACGGGAGGGCAGAAGCGCCCCTGACCCTGACGACACGGTGCACGCGCGGCCTCGCTGCGATCCCCGTCTTCGCATCAGGGATGACAGAGCTGGGCGGTGTGGCCCCGGTGCATCTGCAGGACAGAGGGCCCCCCCTTCTCCCTGATGTTCTTGGCGCTCCTCACTTGGGTGCCCTCCCCAGGGGTCAAGGGGGTAGTCACTGCTCTTGCCGATCAGCCTCTGCAGAAAGAGGACGGGTGTGCAGACCAGGGCTCGAGGTAAATCGTTCTGCTGTCGTGGTCCTTCGCTCTGTCGGAAAGGAAACGGCCCCCTGAAATCGCCAAGACACCGTCCGGCTTGGGCCCAGGGGGGGGCGGCCCTGGCCAGGCAAGGCGGCGCAGAGACGCCTCCTCTGCAGAAGAAGGAGCGGTGGGCACATCACACGGGATACGTAGGTCGACCCCTATCCCAGGCTTCGTGGGGCTCTCGGATGGACCAGGAATCTGGGGGCCCCATCCTGGGATAGGCGACTGGGGGCGTCCATCCTCGGTGAGGGTGCGTCCGAACAGACCCCTTGGGGTGTATCCCAGGGTGTCCCTCCTTTCTGAGCGGCTTCGGTCTTCGTCGGAGCGTCCGGGGGTGGGGGAGACAGCTCGCCTGCGATGCACATGCACCGATCCTGGGCCCAGGACCATCCTGAGCCCAGGATCGGTGCACACGCTCTCCTGGGCCAGGGAGGCATGCACACCGATCCTGGGCCCAGGAAGGGCCTGGACAGGATCGGTGCACGTGCATACTGCTTCTGTTATTTTGCTGGACGACACCAGATCCAGGCATCCGACGATTTGAGCTTGCCAGTCCGCGCCTGCTGGCACCACCTTGTCCAAGACACTGAGCGGGACCACCTTACCAGACAGCGAGGTGCAGGCGTCGGAGCACCAAGACCAGCTGGAGGAGCGGGAGGCCTTGGCCCGAGAGACCCCGGGCGCGGGCGGGAATAGCGTTGCCTCTTGCCGTGCACCTCGCCTGGCCAGAGGGCTCCTTTCTGAGCGGCTTCGGTCTTCGTCGGAGCGTCCGGGGGTGGGGGAGACAGTTCGCCTGCGATGCACATGCACCGATCCTGGGCCCAGGACCATCCTGAGCCCAGGATCGGTGCACACGCTCTCCTGGGCCAGGGAGGCATGCACACCGATCCTGGGCCCAGGAAGGGCCTGGACAGGATCGGTGCACGTGCATACTGCTTCTGTTATTTTGCTGGACGACACCAGATCCAGGCATCCGACGATTTGAGCTTGCCAGTCCGCGCCTGTCCACACTGGCACCACCTTACCAACAGCAGGTGCGGCAGGAGGAGCACCAAGACCAGCTGGAGGAGCGGGAGGCCTGGCCCGAGAGACCCCGGGCGCGGGCGGGAATAGCTTTGCCTCCCGCCCGCGCCGCACCTCGCCTGGCCAGAGGGCCCCTCCCCCTCTCCGCAAAAGAGAGCAAACAACCCCCGAGGTGCCCGCGGGGCGCGCGGGGGTGCCGGCGAGATTTCCAGACCATTGCGTACGAAGCACGGGAGGCTTTGAGAAGATTGGTTGGTGGGCCTGCAGGCGGGCCAGGACACCTGGCCACTGCCTGAGGATTGGCGGAGGCGGCCCTGCATGGGGACGAGCGGCCTCCTCACTCCGGCTCCTCGCCCTTGCAGCCCTTGTGCTCCTTCGCGCAGCAGTAGGAGATCTTCTTCGGGGACCACGAGAGCTCCAGGCAGTGCATGCAGTGGTGGTAGCCCGCGTCGCAGTCGTACTGGCTCTTGTCATCCTCGGGGGGCGCGTCGCCCTGCGGGAGGCCCGAGGGCGGGGGCAGCTCCGAGGGGCAGCCCTTGTTGGCGGTCTTGCAGCAATACATCTTCTTCTCGCCGGACCAGCCGCGCACCCACTGCAGAGGGTCGAGGTCGTTGTAGCCGGCGTTGCAATCAATCGGGCACGGGGACGTGGTGCTCATCGCTGTTGTCACCACTGGCGCGACGGGCACGACCGGCGCCGGCATGGTGCTGGGCGCAGCGGGCGTCGTCGGGCAGCCTTTGCCCTCGTGCAGGCAACAGTATACCTTCTTGGGCACGTCCCAAGACACAGCGTCGCCCTCGCCGCAGTTGATCTCCTTTTTCGTGGTGGTCGGCGGCTCGGTCGGCTTAGGCGGGGGAGGCGGCGGAGGCGGCGGCGGCGGCGGCGGGGGCGGGGGCGGTGCAGCCGTCGTGGCCTTCGTGGTGGTGGTCCTCTCAGTGGTGGTGTCAGGCGGCGGGGTGGTCGTGATGATCACTGGGGCGGTGGTCGTCGTCATCGTGGTGGTGGTCGTCGTCGAGCCCGGCGCCATAGCGAAGAGCAGGAGGGGCAGCAGGAGGAGCGACAGCCCCAGGGGCACGAGGCAGATCAGGCAGAAGTTCGGGCCGCGCCCAGGGATCCGGACCGCTCCGAACTCCCCCGCGCCCATACCGACGTACTTGTAGCTGGTCTCCTGGACGTAGTCGCCGCCCGGGCCCACGTAGCTCAGGATCGTGCCGCCGCCGGAGCCGGAGCCGCAACCTGAGCCCGCGCCGCAGCCTGTGCCCGTGACGCAGCAGTCCGAGCCTCCGGCGCCGTACGCGCCCCCGGCGCCGTACGCGCCGCCGGCGCCGTACGCGCCGCCGGCGCCGTACGGCGCGACCGCGCCGCCAGTGCCGCGGCACCCGGCGCCGCCGGTGCCGTACGCGCCTGTGCCGTAGGCGCCGCCGGCGCCGTAGCCTCCGCCGAGGCCTCCGCCGAGGCCTCCGCCGAGGCCTCCGCCGAGGCCTCCGCTGCGAACCCCACCAAAGCTGTAGGACATGACGATGCAATCAGGGAAGGGCGCTGAGGCTGCTGCAGCGGGGCTCTCGGAAGATGAATGGCACCTTGAGCCGAAATGGCTACGGACACGTGCATGCAGTAGGGGCCCAACCACAAGAAACCTTCCACGAGAAACCCAATCAAGAGACCCCAGGACGTCCATTGATTTTTGGTGTGGGAACGAAACCTAAAGAAAAACCATCGAAACCCAAGACACCAAGGGTACCCTGGAGGCAAGCAGGGTGTTTCTTGACATGGGTCTCCACTGTACTTCTCTTGGCCCGACTCTGGATGACACTCCTTCTCCGGACGACGGCTCCGTCGCTCCCTGCTGCAGGCGCACGTCTCCAGCGGTACACGGAGCCTCGACGCGGGCCCAACACTGCGTCACAGCTCTCTCGCGGCCCAACGTGCGCGCGCGCGCCTGTCGCAGCACGCTCGCTGAAGCTTCAGAGCCGCCTCGCCTCAGGCCCGCAGGCTTGGCATAGCTAGGATATGCACACCTCTTAGGACATGCGACGCCTTGATCTTTCCTATACGGGGTCCCCGAACGTGCCGACCCCATCTCCCTCCCTGGAGCATCAGGTTGCTACCTCGCTACCGCTGGGGTACCACAAAGTGCCCCCCGTCGCGAGCCTCGCCCGGCTCCTCGCCCGGGGCCCCGCACAGCAGCGCCGCGGCGGCGGCGCCGCGCAGGGTGCGTCGGCAGCAGGCCACCTCATCCGCCCTGCAGGGGGGGGCAACTGTTGGCTGTGAAGGCCTGCTCATCCGCCCGCTCCTCCTCCCCCCGATTGCGCATTGCACGACGTGTTCTTTCTTTGGTTGGAGTTCCAGGTCGGCTATGACACGCGTCCGCGGGTAGAGAAAATATCAGCGCAGTGGAAGGGGATGGGAAGCAGGGATAGGATGTCAGACTTGGCGCGAACGCACCTAGCTTGCCCTTCGCCTTCCCACAGATCTCCGAGGATGTGCTTTGACAATCCGGCCGTTTCTCCTAGAATTCGGCCTTTGGGGCCCCTTACTGGGCCCCGGAACCATCAAAACTGCATCCGGGACAACAGAAACACCCCCGGGAAAGGGGTCGGGGCCTCTGGGGCCGCAGGTTGAAAATCAGATCGGAGGATGTCTGGGCACCTTCACCGCCTCCTCCTCCTCCTCCTCCTTCTGCTCCCTCCTCGCCTGGTCCCCCTCCTCCTCCTCCTCCTCCTCCTCCTCCTCCTGCTCCTGCCTCCGCCTGCTGCTCCTCGCCACCTCAAGCAGCCTCTTCCTCCTCATCCTCCTCCACCGCCTCCTCCTCCCCCGCCTCCTCCGCCTCCGCCACCTCCTCCTCCTCCTCCTCCTCCTCCTCCTCCTCCTCTCCTCCTCCTCCTCCTCCTCCCCGCCTCTCGCCTCCTCCTCCTTCTCCTTCTGCATCCTCCTCCTCCTCCTCCTCCTCTCCTCCCTCCTCCTCCTCCTCCTCCTTCCCTCCTCCATCTCACAGCAGCAGCAGAACCATCCTCATCATCATGCCTCCTCCTGCCCCGAACCCCATCTCTGCTCCTCCTGCCTCCTCCTGCCTCCTCCTGCCACCTCCTGCCTCCTCCTCCGCCTCCTCCCCTCCTCCTCCTTCTCCTCCTCCTCCTCCTCTCCTCCTGTTTCCTCCTGCCTCCTCCTGCCTCTTCCTGTCTCCTCCTGCATCCTCCTCCTGCCTCCTCGTGCCACATCCTGCCTCCTCCTGCTACCTCCTACCTCCTCCTGCCTCCTCCTCCTCCTGCCTCCCCCTGCCTCCTCCTGCCTCCTCCTGCCTCCTCCTGCCTCTTTCTGCCTCTTCCTGTCTCCTTCTGCCTCCTCCTGTCTTCTCCTCCACCCCCTCCTCCTCCTATTCCTCTTCCTCTTTCTCGTCCTCCTCCGCCTCCTCCTCTTCTTCTTAATGTTCGCATTAGTCTAGTTCCGTATTAGCATTATTCATATAATTGGTCTTATTAGTGTTGGCATTATTTTCCGTAGTCATAATATGATGATATTCGTCTTCCCTGTATTAATACTACGACCACTATTATTTGTGATAGTGTGCGTATGGCTCGTCTGTAGTATTAGTGGTACTAATACAAATTATAGTATGAGTTATAGTTTTGGTAGTATTGCTCGCCTTCGCGTTATCACTATTAGTCTTCTTCGTAGTAATATTCGTCGTCGTATGATAGTTCGTCACGTTGTGAACGTTGTTGTGCATTGTCGTCGTCGGAATATTCGTCGTCTTCATTATCATCATCATCGTCGTCATCAGCATCGTCATCATGATAATTAATCATCATCACCAGCATCATCATGATCGGCATCATAACCATCATCATCATCATCAGCAACATCAACATCATTAGTATCAGCAGCTCCGTCATCAACGGCAACGTCATCATTATCAGCAGCGTCATCAGCAGCATCAGCATCAGCAGCATCACCATCATCGTCAGCATCGTCATCATCATCAGAATCAGCATCAGCATCACTATCGCCATCATATTCATCAGCACCATCACTATCACCATCATCATCAGCATCATCATCATCGTCAGCATCATCAGCATCATCATCATCATCATCATCATCATCATCATCAGCAGCAGCAGCAGCAGCATCATCACTGTCATCCTCATCATCATCATCATCATCATCATCATCATCATCATCATCATCATCATCATCGTCATCATCATCATCAGCATCAGCATCAGCATCAACATCATCATCCGAAGAAGCAGCATCAACAGCATCAGCAGCATCATCACCAGCATCAGCATTACCAGCATCGTTAGCATCAGCATCATCATCAGCATCAGTAGTATCAGCAGCAGCATCAGCAACAGCAGCATCAGCATCATCAGTATCATCCTCATCAGCCGCATCATCATCAACATCGTCATCACCATCACTATCGGCATCGGCATCTGCGTCAGCATCATCAGCATCATCAGCGGCATCATCAGCATCAGCATCCTCGTTAATTACCAGCACCAGCAGCGTTATGACCATCAGCATCAGAATCATCAGCATCAGCATCAGCATCATCACCATCGGCATCTTCATACTCAGCAACAGCATCATCATCATCACCACAATCAGTAGCAACATCATCACCAACAATCATCATCATCATCATCATCATCAACATCATCATGCCTCCACCTCCTTCTCACCCCTCTTCCTCGTCCTCCGCTGCGCGGAGCGAGCCGCTCCGACGCCGCAATGCCGCTTCGCGCCGAAACAAGAACAAGACAGCTGTCGAATACTCATATGAGGCGGGGGTCCTGGGAAAGGGGCTGCCCTTCGGAACTGCCTCTCGGCTCACTCACAAGCGAGGCTTCAACTCAAAACCTCCTCCCGACTGAGACACAAGGAACCACACAATGACGACACATATCATATTGCCGATGACCCGCTCGAATTGAAAACATGAAGTGGAAACACCATCGGGAGGGGGTTCCAGTTCGAGACTTCCGCGCGCCTCACTCAGAAACGCGGCTCCCGCTCTAAACCTCCTCTAGACCCAGTCATCAGGAGCCAACACATGACGACAGATACAGTATTGCCGATGGCCCGCTCGGATTGAAACCATGAAGTGAGAGGCCCATAGGGACGGGGCTCCCGCACGAGATGTCCGCGCGATTCACTCACAGACGAGGCTCCTACTCGATACGTCCCCAAGCATCAAGAGCCCAAACGTGACGAACGTTACAAGTTTGTCGGTGACCCGCTCGGATTGCAATAATGAAGTGGGGGCCCCAATGGGGGGGGGCTTCCGCTCCAGATTCCTGGCGGTTCAATCACAGATGAGGCTCCCGCCCGAGATTTCCTCCAAACTCAGGGTTCAGGAATCCAACACTTACGAATGTTACAGGTCGGCTGACGACCCGCTCGGAATACAACAATGAAGCGGGGGGGGGGGGGCATGGGGAAGGGGCTCCCGCTCGAGACCTCCTCGCTTTTCGCTCACCGACGAGGTCTCGCTCGAGACTTCATCAATCTGAGAGGGTGTGTGCCTGTATGGTGAGTGGGTGAGCGTGGTGGTGACGACGATGACGACGACGATAACGATGATGCTACGATTGATGATGGTGATGATGATGGTGCTGTTGATGATGATGATGATGATGATGACGATGACGATGATGACGATGATGATGATGATGATGGTGATGATGATGATGAAAAAGACGATACTGATGATGACAACGATGATGATCGTGGTGATGCTGATGATGATGCTGCTGCTGATGACGCTGATGCTGATGCTGATGATGGTGGTGATGATGATAATGATGCTGACGATGATGGTCATGGTGATGGTGCGAGGTGAGGTGAGGTGAGGACTACGCGGGGAGTCCAGAGAAAACAAGAAACACACTTAGGATGTGCGGAATTATGACGATAGTACTGTTGCTGGTGCTGGCTGCTGGTGATTGTGATAGGAATGATGATGCTGATGATGACAGTGATGATGATGCTGATGATGATGATGGTGATGATGATGAAGATGATGCTGATGATCATGATGATGATGATGATGATGATGACGATGACGATGATGGTGATGATGATGATGACGCTGACGATGATGATGATGATGCTGATGATGACGCTGATGATGATGAGGATAAGGATGAGGATGATGATGAGTGTGATGCGAAAAGGAAGAGGAAAGCGGGGGTGAGGTGTTCTCATGCGCAGGTATGTCCAGAGAAAACAAAGACCCACTTATTTTGAGGGAGTTTGTCTTGAAAACTCACGTCAACCTGCCCCGCGGCGCACGAAGAATGGGCCCGCCTACAAGAGCCGACCCGGGCGTATTCCAAGCTGGAGCTCCCGCTCGCTCACACGCACAAGCCCAATCTCCTGTCGCCCTGGCTCAATCCTCACCCGCGCACCGCCGCCTCCCGCTCACACTCCTCTCGCCCACCAGCACACGTCCCTTCTTCCTCTCTCTATATACAGAAACTCCCGAGCAACCACAGAGCGGCTTGCTAGTAAGGAGCAAAGAGCTGCGTAAACATGAGCTTTCGGAGGTCCGCGGGGAGTTCTTGGATCGGTGCTGGCCCTCCTTCGGTGGCGCGCGGATCGCGCCAGGGGCGGCGCCAGAAGCGCCGCCAGCGGGCCCACGCGCCGGTCCAAGAAATCCGCGCGGGTCGTCGAAAGTACACGTTTATGCAATTACTCTTCCTTTACTGGTAACGTCGAGAAGGTCTGGTTCAAGAAGGGTGCTTTTGACGGCTGCTGGCTGGGGCGCCTCAGGTCGAGATGGGGGGCCTCAGGACGGGCTTGCGGGGCCTCAGGTCTAGCGAAACCAACCTTGTCCAACGAACCCGCAGACTCCGACCCAAATCGCGTGGCAGCGCACCTATAGGACGAGAGTTATGTCATGATAAGATTGGCACAGGATGCGCTCCAAGATCTCCTGGGCATCCGACTGGAACATCTGGGCATCTTGGAAATCCTGGAAACATTGGACATCTTTGGGGAAACCACAAGGTACCGATACCGATGCTCCCCTGACCTCTCCAGGGGCGCGTTCTGAATGGAATTTCGAGGCGAATCCAGCCGGGGCGACGAGGGCATCCCAGGAGGCCCATAAAGGAGACAGCGAAGGAGGGCTAGCGGAATGGGCGCCTTTTCCTCCTCTGAATATTGCAACGTATCATCACCATGACCTCTCCCAGAGCTCCCCTTGGCGGCGCGCACAAGGGGACAGGGGAAGGGGGGCAGGCTTCTCAGAAGCAGCCTGCTTGTTAGAAGGCGCGGGCCTGACATCTACAGACAACGCCCACGCCCTCTAAGAAGCAGGGGTGCTCCTAAGAAGCATGCCCCCCTCCCCCGTACCCCCCGTTTGCGCGCAGGACAAGCGCGTTCCACTACTCGCGAATCAACTACTCGCAAATGGCCTGGATCCGCAGCGGGGGATCTACGATCCACCATATATATATACATAGGAAGACTGTTTTTGGTCCGGACGTTTGCGAGTGCAGTGGAGACCCATGCCAAGAAACACCCTGCTTGCCTCCAGGGTGCCCTGGGTTTCTTGGGTTTCGATGGCCGTGCTGTGGAAAGCGCGACGTTCCCACACCAAAAATCAATGGACGTCCTGGGGGTCTCAGGGTTGGGTTTCTTGTTGGGAATTTCTTGTGGTCGGGCCCCCACTGTGGACTGGCCTCCGCTGTAGTCACTTTCCGAGTAGCGGAACACCCTCGGTGACGCGTGGACAACGCCCAGCCTGGCGCCCTCGCCATCCGGGGAGCTGCCGGGGCGTGCGGGCCGGGCGCCCTCGCCGCGGGCGGAGGGGTCGCCGGGGAGGCCCTGCGCAGGGGGGAGGGCCGGCGCCACGCCGCTGGCCGTGATGCAAAGGACAGCACCAGGCTAAGACGAAGGCAGGATGATTTGCAATAACGGGACCCCCTAACCCTTTGGGAGGGGACCTTGAGTTAGGAGGGCAGCATCAGGGATGCGTGGCCTTCTCTGCAGGTGTGTCGAACCAAACCGCCCAACTCGATCATCCCTAATGCAAAGACGAGGACCTAAGTGAGGCCACGTCTTCACTGTGTTATTAAGGTTAGGCGTATTCTCGATGACAAAATACCGATACCGCTGCTCCCCAGACCTCTCCAGGAGCGCGTTCTGACAAGAATTTCGAGGAGAATCCAGCCGTGGTGACGAGGGCTCCACAGGACGAGCAGCGGTATCGGCGCCTTTTCCTCCTCTGACCACCCTCCCCCCGCCCCCAGAAGCTATGTTGATCCCCTCTTCGCGTGGCCGAGGGTCGTTCGATACCGGCCGACTGCCACTGGCAGCGAACGAACCAACGAACGAACGACCACCAATGCGGACAGCAGTCCGGGCCTATTCGAGACCAGGTGAGCGAGGCCGTGGCCTCCAAAATACTAAGTGTGTGTGTGGTGAGGCATGCATGCGAGCCAAGAAGTCAGCGCCCAGCCTTCACCGCCCGCGCTCAGCCTGGCAGGGCCACTGGCAGCGCTCAGCCTCCACCGCCCGCGCTTGGAGCGCCGCTGGGTGTCAACGCGGGCGCAGGACTGCCCTGGCCGCCCTCTTTGTTGTGGACTGTGGGGCCCGTCCTCCCGACCTGCGCCCGCTCGAAGTGGGCCCCCAGATCTAAGACGAAGGCAGAAGAGAAACAGAACTGGACCGATGCAAATCGGAAATCTCTGAGAAACGGCCGGGGGGTGGGGGGGGTTCGGGCGCCGCGGCCTTCCTGTACGCTCTGAGAGCGTTCTGCAACGCTCTGGGCCGGACTTGTCTCGATTCTAGGCCCGTCCGGCACCAAGCCTCCTGAGAGGACCCCCCCAGAGCGATGGCAACGGCGTCGGGAAGAGACTCGAGCGCCTCCGAAGCCAGAAGGGAACCCCACTGCGCACCAACACCGATCCTGGCCACGTCAGCCTCGACAATCCGAAATACCCACACGTCTGGTAACTGGAACATCTCGCGCCAGTATTGTTGGAAGAACAACATACAAACCTATATGGATAAGGAATGGGGAAATGTAAGACGATGAAGCACTGTAAATGCAAATGCTAGTCGTCGGACCCCGAAGGGGGCTCTCGTTCGAGCTGGGACCCCCATGCGACAGCACGCACCCATAGCCAGCCCAGAATTCCACCTCAGAATTCCACACCGAAAAATATGGGGGTCGCTTTAGTATGGGTGCCAGCTGTCAGATCATGCGGTTGGGAGCTCACCAGCGCTGCGGGCCATCTTGGGCCGTCGTTAGAGGAACAATGAGCGGCGTAAACATGCTTTTCTCGGAGGCCCGCGCGGAGTTCTTGAATCGGCGCTGGGACCCCCTTACTGGAGCGCGGAGAGCAACAGGGGCGGCGGCGGAGTCGCAGCCAGGGGGGCCCAGCGCCGATCCAAGCATCCGCGCAGACCTCAGCCGCGTTTCGAGTCTTGGAGACGTCTTCTTGTGCAATCCTCGCGGCCTTGGTTGCCTGCCCAGGCCGTCCTGGAAGCTCGGGAGCACGGATCCACATTTTGCTAAGAGGGATCATGGCCTCGGGAGCGCTGATCCATCGTCTTTTCAAACAGGGATCGTGGAGGGATTGTGGCTCAGGGGAGGAGGAAAAGACACCGGTACCGGTGCCATTTCCTCGTTCTTGCCTCGTTGGGGCCTCCTGGGGGTCCCTCCACGGCTGGATTCGCTTCGAAATCCTCTTTTGGGCCTTCTGCGGGGCCCTCCACGGCTGGATTCGCTTGGAAATCCTGGTCGGAACGTAAGTGGGAGCGGTTCAACGGCACCCATCGGTCGGAAGAAGTGGGTACAAACATGAAGAACGAAGGCGCTAAAAGTAGATTGGGTTTCCGCCCGCCAGCGAAAGAGGCAGCACGAGGGAGAGCCACTCGATATCTGAAAAATTGGCAGGCGCCCAAAGCAGATTGCAGCACGGGAATCCACAGAGTCATACTTTCAACGACCGAAGGATCTCAACGACACGCCGCCGTTTGGAGCTCACCAGCGTGCTGCTCATCCACTCTCGTCCGAAAGCCGTGTGCTTCTTCCACAGTGGCAGGCTGATGGGTTCCCCTTGTCGGCATCAAGAGGCCACCCCCCTAGGACTCCAGACGGCCACCAACAAGCCCCACAACAGAGGCTGAGGAAGAGGAAGGCGAGTCAGCAACAGCTACATACAGGCAGCACGACGGGAAGTGTCAAACAGCACACACGAATGGGAAGCCGCACATGTCCTCTTCTGCGGGTCGACGGAACGGCGTAATCAAGCCTCTCTTGAGTAACAGGCAGTGATGGGTCCCCACTGCAGCGTGCCATTGACAATCTTCACAAAGCCTCGTCTCGATCAGGGGGGTGTAATGACCTAAACTGTACCCGAAAATCTTCCCGAATGTGACCGAAACTGGCGCCCGAATTGATCGACAAGTGCCTGAGTGTGACCAGACTTTTCGTTCAAAAGAAATACGATATCCAAGTTCTATCAGAAGTTCGGTCACATCACGTGTTCGCTCCACGTGTTCGATCACTGATTGTTTTGCCGTCGCAAGCCTCTCGGCTGATTGGGGCCAAGCGCCCCCCCCCTACCGGCGCGGCCTGGGCCCCACTGGCCGATTTAGCCTTCTAGATGGGGATATAGGCTGTTCCTTTGGGGTTTGGGATGACCTATCCCCAATTGGAGGGGAATGCTGGGGCTGAGATACCCTGGCCCCGTGGGAATGCGGATGGATGAGCGACGATGAGAAACGGGTCTTACGCGAGATGACATAACGACCTTACGCGGCGGCATACGCGGGCCACCAGCGCGGCATGCTACATTGGAGACGAGGGCGCTCACGCGCGACCTTACGCGAGCAGCGTACGCGCGAATGTCGGCGCAGGCGACCCCGTTTTCTTCCGTCGCTCAATTGAGGGGGGGAATGGCGGGGCGGAGCTACCCTGGCCCAGTGGGGATGTGGATGGGTGAGACGATGCTGACCCCCTGCGGCGTGCCATTGCTACTCTCCCTTTCCAGCCCGACCTGCGCGTCGTCGGCCAGCGGGGGCAGCAGGAGGGCCCTGCGCGCTGGGTACCTTCGAGGGCCGGGGCGGGTGCTGCCCAAGGTGCCCCTGGCCCACGGTGGCGACGAAAGCGAGGGCCACGACCAGCACTGATCACGGACGCGTCGGCGTTGGTCTTGGCCATCGTCCATCTTGGAGCCCGTTTTCAGATTCACGATGGCGCCCATGACTGGCCCCGCCCCCCCCCCCTCCCCCATCCCGCCTGCTCATCGCACGACTCGCGCTGGCGCCGTCTGGGAATTAGCCATTTCCAGCACTCCTGGAAGGCGCCGGCGCGAATCGTAATGTGACTGGCCCCGTCGCCCCCTCCACCCCCCTCCCCCCCTGGTCACCCACATGATCGCCAGGGGATAGAAACACTGCCTCTTGGTTTAAGGCGACCAAGGCGGTACGAGCTGCATGAGCCCAGAGAAAATCTTTCAAGAAGGGGGAATGAAGGCAACCCCACTCAGAATCTACCCCAGGACCCCTCCTGGGGTCGAAGCTGACCAGCTTTTCGAGCCGCGCCCAGCTGTGGATTCATTCTCCAATGATTCGATGAGATTCGCTCCTCCAACTCGCTGAGATTCGCTTTCGATCAACTCCAATTCCGATTCGCTTCGACTTCCGATTCCAAGTTGGATTCGGGGCTCTCAGTGGAGGCCTGACTGGCCTACAGATTTCCGCCGATTCGGCTTCTCCCGACTTGGCTGCCGATTTCCGCCGACCCCATTCATGTCAATCGCCGATCTGACTCATTCAGTCGATCCTGAGCTCTGCTGCCAATTGTGGGCCGTCTCAGCACCCCAGCTGGCTCCAACACCGCGGCCGTCGTCAAATCGAGGGCCACCCTCGCGCCGGCCGAGAGGGCAGCCTGCACTCCCTCTGGGTAGGGCGACGAAATCGACATATAATCCCACCAGCCCTCTGGGCGTGGTCTAGGGAGCTTCCTCTTCCAACCCCCATTCTTCCCCTTCGGGGAGGGGTTTACCCCTACCCCTACCCCTTACCCCTGGACCTGGACGGGGCACTTCGCGACGCGTTGGGGCGTCCAAGATGGCCCAAGATTGCTTCAAGAGAGCCTCAGAGAGCCCAAGATAACCTCCAGATGGCTCAAGATAGCGCAAGATCACTCAAGATGGCTCCCATGATGCTCCAAGAGGCCCCAAGACGGCTCCAAGTGGCCAAAGGGCTACCCAAGGGGGCCCCGAAGAAGACAAAATCCCTCCACCACCTAAGGACACTCAATGTGGTTTGCCCACTGCAGTCCAAGAGGGCCCATGAGGACCCCACAAGAAGCCCAAGAGAGCCCCAAAACGGCCTCAAGCGCAACCAAGAGCGCTCCAAGATCGCCTCACGAGGGGCCCAGGAGGTGATTCTTGGGGCTCCTGAGGGGGGGCGCTAATTAAGGACCCCCCCTTCTTTGATGGATCTCCTCCTAGATGGCCCCAAGAGCGCCCCTCAAGCTCCCAAAAGCGCACCAAGAGGGCCCCACGAGGGCCCCAAGAGGCGCCCAGACGGCCCCAAGAGGCCTCCAAGAGGCTCCCAAGACCCCCCCAAGAGGCTCCCGAAAGGCTTCAAGAGGATCCCCGAGGCACCCAAGATGTCCCCCTGACGCTCCAAGAGCCCCCCCGAGGCACCCAAGACGCCCAAGAGCCCCCCAGGACCGCCAACAAACCCTTAAGACGTCCCAAGAGGCCACCAAGAAACGCCAAAGCGATATACCAAGAGGTTCCGAAAAAAAAGCATCCAAGAGACCTCTTGCCCGTTTGTTCGCCCTCCTCCTCCTGCTCATCATTCCTCATATTCCTTTTCTTCCTCCTCCTCCTCCTCCTCTCCCCCTATCATCATATACCTCCTCAACATCCTCCTCCTCATCACCAGCATCACCAGCATCCTCAGCATCATCATCATCAATAGAATCACTCTCATCATCAACATCATCATTAAGATCATCATCACCACCACCAGCATCATCATCATCATCATCATCATCACCACCTTCATCATCACCATCATCATCAGCACCACCATAAGCAGCATCATCATCTGCATCATTATCACATTCATAATTCATCTCCCCACTCCCTCATCCATCCATCCAGCCTGCTTCTTCTCCTCCCAACATCGCACGGTTCGGCCGTCCACCTCTTTGCTCCCGCACTTCTCTGATCACTTCGACTCGGCTGGACATCGTTTCTGGATGGGCGGGGATACTTTTTAGTCAGCGGCCGCGGGCGACCGCGCCGGCGGCGAGTCAGGTCAAAGCGGGCTACGCAGAGACGAACTAGGCAGAGGAAGCGCGGGAAAAATATAGCAGAGCAGCGCGAAGGGCGACGGCTAAGCGTCGGCCGAGGCCTCAGGTGGGTGGCAGAAGGGACTGAGACTGAGGGGAACCGCCAGCGTGCAAAACTGCAATTCCGTCGGATGCGCCATATGTCGGAAAGTCAACGACGGCCAGGGACAACTCCGAGAGAGAAAACGCGATACCGTACCTCAGACAACTGCGTGGGCACCAGGGTGGCCGTGGCCAACGAACCGTCGGTCGAGGTAGGAAAAATAAATGCAAAGACGATGCCCTGGACGTCGGCGAAGCGCGAGAACCAGGGTGGTCCAAAGGACCGCCGGCCAAGGAATTGTCGCCAGGAGGGGAGAGCGCTGGCAGGCTGCAACCCCCAGGGTGGCGGAAGCCGAGAGACCCCTAGGCAGCAGTACGCACGAGTGCGGGGAAGCGGCATAGCCGCGACGCGGCCAAAATGGCGCGGGTCACCACGTACCTGTGCGACAGAGGGTGTCAGGTTGACCCAACACTGGCCCGACTGGGCACAACCGAGGGCTGACGCACCAAGTGATGACAAGCGGACGAGTACCTCGGGCGAGCGGACGCCGAGGCCGAGGACCATCCGCACGCTCGGACTGCTGTACAAGACGATGCCGGGACGGCCGCTAGCCCAGGATGAGGAACCGCGACTTGAGCGGAAAGGCCGAAGCCGGAGCTGTGGAGGGACAGCACCACCACACGACGAGGTCATGGGTGAACCGCGAGTTGCGCGGCATAGAATAAGAGGCCGAACGGTGACAGAGCAGCCGCCACCCGGCAAAGGGCCGAAACAAGGCACCGCAGGGGGGGGGGGGAGGGGGCACCCCGACCCTGCGGGCCGCCCGGTGGCGCGGGAGACGCGCCCCAGGGGTGAGAAAACTAGCAGCAGGCCGGAGGCCGGTATTGGACAGGTGGACTGCGGCCCCAGCAGCAGTCCACAAGTCAGTACTGCCAGCGAAACCCACAGCTCAAGCCCCAAGGACGGGGAGCGGTGGGGGCTGGGCAGGAGAGGCACCAAGGACGGTACCCTGCCTGCACGGCAGGCGACCACCGTGGGAACTCACTGGCACGCCAGGGGTGAGACGTAGGAGAGACAAGTGGGCCCGAGCCACGTAGTGTCCCTCGAGCCACCAAATGCAGCAGACCCGGGGTCCGCACCCGGAGGGACGAAACGACGGGGGCTGGGCAGGGGTGGTCCCAGAGAGGGAGCACTGCCTGCAAGCCGGGCTGCGGCTGCAGCTGATGCTGCGCGTGCCAGGCCCAGGGGGGTGCAGGCGAGGATCGATGTCGGGGCCCAACGCCAAGCTCCTCTCAAACACATGTCGGAGGTCGAGCCAAGGAGGGCGAGTGACCACGGCCCACAATGTGAGTGAAACTCTAAATCAACTGGCCTAACGGGCCCCAATGTACGGATAGCGATAATAGCGAGACACGTTCCGGGATGGCCTAACGGGCCCCATTTTACCTTGAGAGCCGGAGGCAAAGCCCCGGCGGACCCCTTGGGCCACAGGTCAGTACGTCTGCGGAAGAGAGTGGCGGTCGGCTGCCCACTGGGGCGTCGGGTGGGCGTCGGTTCGGGCTGGCAAGGGCGAGCGAAGACCGGAGTCGGAGGTCCACGCCGGGCCCGCAGCAGCCACAGGTCGGACGTCGAGCCAGGGAAGAAAGTGACCACGGCGAGCGGAAGAGGAGAGACAACGAAACCATTGGCCTGACGGGCCCCCGACGTGGCCTGACGGGCCCAAATTAAGCAGGAGAAGCGGGGGCGCGGCCCCAGTGAGTCCGTCTGGTCGGGGCCAGGGAAACGAAAGAGGGGAGGGGGAGGTAGGCTGCCCGCTGGGGCGTCAGGTCGGCGTCTGGTCGGGAGTGGCGGGGCGAGCACGGTTGGGTACCTGGGACGGAGTCAACGCGTCCACAGAGGGACGCGAGGTCGGAATAAGGTACGCTGGGACACAGCGGGAGGGTGAGACCCTATAGCCATGTGCGGGAGCGTTTGTCTCCCCGCCCGTCGCCGCTATCTTCTCCACCACGCTTGCCCGCTGCCTGCCAGCCATCGGCATCCCAGCCCTGTCCCCATGACCATGCGGCCCAGACCCAGGGTTGTCGGGAGCTGGTGGCGTGCCCCCTGTGTTGCTGGGAGCTGGCACCCTGCTGTCCTGACCACTTGTCGCGCTCACGGTCCCAATTGACCTGCAGCTCGTGCTTACGATCCATCACGCATGCGTCGTACCCACAACGCTTCCAGGCGTCGAAGAAAGCGCGGCACGTGCTCTCGGGATTAAGGGTGGGGTCATTCATCGGGCCGTTCGGAGCGGAGTGTTTCCGAGTGTAGGCATGCCAAACGCTGCTGAATACACCCCCGAGGGTCTTTGGAACCTGGAGATTTTGACAGCGGGTGGCTCCGCGTGTTTGTCAAGGTCGACGTTGGCCAGCCGCTCCCTGTAATTCCATTGGACCCCCCCCACGGGGTCGAGGAGCCCATCGAACACCCGCTTGAGGCCCCATTCGCGGGGGTTAGCGAGCGGAGGTTTTGCGCTGGCGGGGAGGGGGGTGGCCTGGGGGGCTGGGACGGGCGCGCTGAACTGCCAATCTGCGGGTGACGGTCGCGCCACCCCGGAGGGGAGGACGAGCGGCTGTCCGACGCTCCCGCCGGGGCGCTGTTGTCCGCCAGTTTGTGTGCTGGTGAGGGAGGGCGCTGCGGGAAGTCCTGTGCCGA